AGGCATAATTGAATTCACCCACTTTTATACTAAATAAAATCTTAAATTGCATTTTATTCACATCATAAAGTTACTGTATAACAACTGTATATTTTACAGATAATCAGATGAAACAACAAAGTAGTACAGACAAGAAACACACTGAAATAAAAGGAATTACAGATACTGAAAAAAGACACACTGAAATTATAAAACTTACTGCTTGCAAATACAATAACTGGAAAACAGTTTCCAGTGTTGTGGATAGTAGGAAGGGAGAAAATTTAGATTGCAGTCACACATAATGGATATAAAAATAAAAGGTGAAAGTATAAGATAGAACCTGATGAGATGTTTGAACTATGAGAGCTATGAAGGTCAGGATAGCTCTGGTTGATATGACACTTCGGGCTCAGAGGAACAGTGATATTTATCAGAGAAAGAGTTAGAAGGAATTGGAAGATTACTGAGAAAGACTGAGAGAGAAAGGCTAAGAGAGAAAGGAAGTAGTAGGAAGAGGTCGAAGATCTTAAGGGAGAATAGGAGAAGTCTTGAGAGAAAGAAGGAGAAGTGAAGGAGCTTCTGAGCAAAGAGGAGAAGATGGGAGAGAGAAGAGTTTATGAGCTAAGAGGGGAAGCGGAAGACCTTGCCTCAAATGAGAGGCCTTTGGCCCTTTTATAGATGAAGGAGTTTGCTTCTCTTCGAAGCAAATGATAAAGCAGAATAAAAGGGAAAAGACTGAGGTGACCCAAAGGAGTAGGACAAAAGTAAAAGAAAACAAAAAATTAAAAAGAGGCATCTGGGAACAGTGTTCCCTTTTGTCGTTTCTGATTATTGCTACAGTAACACTTTTGGTTTTTATGCAGGTGGCTACAGTGAAGCATCTGGAATAGTACTTCTTGTCGGTGATGTGGCCATGTCTTTTGTCGCATATGTCGGTGGGTATAGTGCTTGGAATCTGGAACAATCTTTCTTGTCCTTTTCTGTGGGTGAGTTTTTGTCTTTTATGGAGCTTTGTCGGTGAGCTTTGTCAGTGGAGACTATTATCTTCTTGGATTATTGGTGGTATTGTGGTGATAATGATAGAGACTTTTATGGTCTTTGACTGAACTCTTCTGGATCATCTTCCTCTGGATCCGTTTCTTCTGGATCATCTTCACTCAATTGGAGGTATCTATTGGTGTGGAGTGGGGAGGATTGTACTGTTTCTTCGGATGAGACTGGTTTTTTTCCGGCTTCAGCGAAGATTTCCTTCATTTGTTTTTCTAATTCTTCTTTGCGTGCATTGGGATTGGTTTGCAACATATTGCGAAGGTAGGTTGGAAAGTCAAAGAGATATTTATTGTATTTGGGTTTTGCTGGTATTTAGGTATTGGTGGGGGTATTCTTTTTGGTGTGGTAGCTGTGAGATCCATTTTGAAAATGTCCCACCATTTTACAGAGATGGTTTTCCCCAACCGAGGAATATAGGGTATAATCATTTGTATTATTGACTGAGATGATGTAATCTCATTTCATGATCCATGGGAGCTGATATAAGGCCATGAAGTATAGGTGAGTATCAATTGTATTGTCACTATTATTGTATTGCACAAATTGGTCCTGCAGGTTTTTGAAAGCAGGAGGTAGTATTAAAGAAGTTGAACCCCACACTAAAAACCAATTTTGAAACCATGTGGGGAATCTTTCGAAAATAGTAGTCGGAATTGAAGATACCAGCTATGTGTGTTGTTCGGATTTTGATAATAAAAGAATTTGTGTCAGGCTTCTATATACTCGGCATATTTATAATATTTGTATGAGAAATCTGGGTTGTGCAATTTCTTTCCTTGTGTGGGATTGGAACCCCACTCATCATAAGAAAGAAGCTTTTTTATTTGAACCTTGGAATAGGCAATTATTCTGGTATTTTGCTGATAGTAAAAGACTACAAAGATAGACTTTGTTTCCATGAGTATGGCTTCGTAATATTCTCTGGTATTTACCCCATTGGTAGGGTTGAGATGGTTTATCAGATATAAGGGTGCAAGTTTAATGGGATCTGTATGAATATGTTGTTCATCTATGGTGATATCCATAAGATAGGCTCTTTTGATGTATGCAGATCTGGATGTATTAGGAATGGAGGTGGTCTTGGATTGAGCTGGTGAATATATCGGATTAGAAGCATGTGCTTCTGGATAGGTAATTTGGTGAATGGGTGACTGTGAAGGTGACCGTCTTGCCAAAGGCGATGGTTCCCCTTCATATGGAACAATATTTTGCATGGGTTGTTTATCTCTGCGAGAAGTACCTCGAGAACCCATTGAATAATAAAGTGAAGGTACAATATTAGTATTATTCTGATTTTCTGCGAACAATTGGAGAGCAAGGGATAAGGGTGATTCTTCGTCGTTTGTGTCAGTGTTGCCCCCTGCAAAAATTCACGGGTTAAAAAATCAGGTAGAGAATTAGAAGACCCGGGAAGGTGTTCGATGGAAAAATCAAAGGCAGATAAGATAGCCTGCCATCGAGCAAATATTTGTTTAGAAACTAAATTTTGAACATCTTTTTGCAAGATATCTTTGGCTGCTTTGCAGTCAGTTCGTATGAGGAAATGTTGATTTAAAATATCACTTTGAAATTTGGTCACACAATGAACTATGGCTAATAATTCTTTTTTGACCATGGAATAATTGAGTTGAGTATTATTCCAAGCTTTTGAAGTATAACTATTAATTGTTCTTTAGAATCAATTTGTTGTTTGAGAATGCCCCCTAAACCTTTATCAGAAGCATCACATTCAATGATTTTGAAAGCAGTAGGATGAGGAAGTGAGAGACATTCTAGTGTCTTTACCTTGCTTTTTGATTACCTGTACTGCTTGAGTATGAAGATTCGTCCATGGTGGAGGGTTCTTTTTTAATCTATCATATAAAGGTTTAGAATCTAAGGCAAGGTTAGGATAGAAATCACTAACATAATTTAAATAGCCTAGAAACCTTTGAAGTTCCTTTTTATCAAGTATTTGATCAGGGAATTTATCAGCAAACTGTATGGATCTATCTATGGGAATTATGGTTCCATGATGGATCATGTGTCCAAGAAATCTTATATTAGTTTTGAATAAGGTTATCTTTTTTATTGAAACAACTAATCCAGCATTCCGGATAGCATGTATAAGAATATTGATGTGCTTAATATGTTGTTCTATTGATTCAGAGAATATTAATACATCATCAATATAAACAATCATAAAATGATAGTAGGCATTAAAAACATCATTCATTATTTTCTGGCATTACAAAATGCCAATCAACCCCAAGAAATTCCTCAACATCATATTCCTAATCAAATAATCGAATATTCTGATGGTAATATTGAAATTAAATTTCAACAATTACAAGTACAAGATGATATTAATATTAATAGAAAAAGGAATATAAAACCTAAAATACCCAGTAAAAAATCGTATTCTACTAATCCAGATGTAGTCATACTACCTCCACCTACTCACTCTTCTTCATCAATACCTAGTTCAGAACTACAATTCAAAGGGACACGAAGAACAACAGATCATGTTGTTATTCCCACATATACCCCAGAATCCAGTATAACAAATACGACTGAACCTAGTATAGAAGAGTTACAAGATTTTCAAATATTAACTTTACAAATAGAAGACGATATAAATACATATGATCAATATTCTGATGAATATTCTGATGAATACATAGCAACCTATTTAGCAGCCAAATTAGAAAGAAAAAGGAGAAAATTAAATATAAATTTTATTAAAAAAGATTACTTATCTGAAGAAAATAAGCACATAAGAGAATGGTATTTAAAAACATTTCAACCTAGATTGATAGAATTAATGCATAAAAAATATAATAAATTCCTAAAGAAAGAAAGAATAAATAAAGGATTTTTTATATGGTTAAGAGAAATATGTATTGAATATCATATTACTATTCCCTCATTTGATAAAATTCAAACAATAGAAGAAAAAACTTATATCAGTACGGATAGTACTACCACTGCTAATACACACCCACCTGAAAAAAGTCTAATACTTAAGGCAGCTATCCCAATAAAGGATGAGCCTACACAACCTCAATCATTATATGATATAATTGCCACTCCATATAAAATCTTACCTAAAGAACTTGGTAAGAAACAAGAGTTAATTCCTCATATAGTAGAACAGAATAATTATACAAATCTATATATGCAATCTTTAGGAAGACAAGCAGAAAGAATAGAAAGACTTGTATCTAAAGACACATCTTCTGCTACACCTATTCCTAAATCAGTTTTGTTCAAACCACCTCCAGAATTAAATAAAAACAAATTCCATAGTGGAGATAATAACAAATCCCTCATGGATCAATTGATATCAAAATTATCCCAATTAGATATTAAAGGAATACCTTCTCCCAAAATAAATATTCCTCCTCCACCTATTACCAATATAGCACCTGAGTCTTCTGATAAAGGCAAAGCAAAATTACCTGAGCATGAGACAATGATGTTTCAGGAAGAAGAACCAATTATAGAAGATACTATCCAAAATCAAGAAAAAGCATTTATGGATACTACCCCTATTTTTGAAACCATAAACAGGATAGCCTATGGAAAATATTGGAAACCAATGACAGCTTTACCATATCACAAAAGACCCACACCTGTTGATATACAAATAGAAGAAGATGCCATACAACAGGCAGTATCATACTCAAGAAGATCAATAGTAAATTGGCAAATAGATGGACTATCTGAATTAAAAATATTAGATGTCATGCGGCATATGACCATGTATGCTTCTGCAAATAAAATGGCAGGCAACCCTGATCAAGAGGTTGCAAAAGCAATAGTAAATGGATTTACCGGTTGGTTAAGAGGATGGTGGGATTTCTATGTAGATGATGACACTAAACACAGAATCCTCACTAATACTAAACAATGGACCGGACGAAATGAACAAAACCAAGAAGTCATATATACAGAAAGTGATGATGTCAATACACTAATATAGACCATTACATTACACTTTGTAGGAAGTACAGCTTTACTAGCAGCAAGATCAGAAGATCTGCTATCTAATCTACGTTGTCCTACCCTATCTCATTATAAATGGTATAAGGATGTATTTTTCTCACGATTATTAATAAGAGAAGATTGTCAGCTAGACCATTGGAAGGAAAAATTTATAGCTGGTCTACCATATTTATTTGCTGAAAAAGTCAAGGAAAGACTAAGGAAAAAACATAATGGAATAATCGTCTATTCATCATATACACTTGGAGAACTCTCCGCAGAAATATGTGCTGAAGGTTTAGCCTTATACACAGATATGAAATTAAAAAGACAATTAGATAAACAAAAAATCACTAAGCGCAAAGAGCTTGGTGACTTCTGTGAACAATTTGGTTATTACCTTGATAAGAAAACTATGCCTGACAATTTATATAAGAAAAAGAAAAAATATAAAAAGGAAAAATACAAATCTAAAACTAAAGATAAAGATAAGAAACATTACAAAAAATCTAAAAGGAAATTAATCAATAAATTTTCTCCCAATACAAAGAAAAAGAGAAAGTTACCAGTATGCTATAAGTGTGGTAAAATATGACACTATAAACATCAGTGTAAATTAAAAAAGAAAATAGAATCATTAAATTTAGATGAATCAATAAAATCTAAATTATATAACATATTCAATTATGATTCTTCATCTTCTACTTCTTCTGATTCTCATATAGATCAAATCCAAGATGATGATCTCATGTGGACAGACTCCTCTGACTCCACTAATGCTTCAAATACAAATTCATCCAGCTCAGAAGATGATTGTAGCTGTCCAATAACAACACATAATGTTCACACACTTACACAAGAAGATAATTTCATTCTAGATATTATTGATAAAATTATTGATTCAGATGAAAAAAGATCTGTTATCACTCAATTTATTGCCATTACAAAAAATAAAGCAAAAGCACTCCCTATCAATAAAACTCCAGATGAATATAATTTTTCCTCCATAATGAAAAGAGTAAGTGATCAACACACTTCTCAACAAAAAAAACCTACCATTCCAGATCTCAAAAAAGAAATCAAAGAAATAAAGACTGAAATAGTTCAATTAAAAAACAGAATTAAATCATTGGAATTACAACAAATGTCTCAACAAGATTCAGAAACAGATGAAATAGAATTTGATGAATTAATGAAATTTGATCCAAATCCATCATCAGATATTCCTGAATCCTCAGAAGCCAAAATAGTACCTATTCCTTCTGTCAATTTAATAGACAAAATAGTAATACAAAAATAGTTTGTCCAAGACAAAATTATTGTTGCTTCATATTATAGCTTTGAAACTTCAGCTCTAATAGACTCAGGAGCTGATTTAAATTGTATCAATGAAGGACTTGTACCTTCGAAATATTTTGACAAGACTACTCAAATATTAAATACAGCAGATGGAAGCAGATTATTTATCAAATACAAATTATCTAATGCTTCTGTTTGTAACAATCACCAATGCATTGATACACCATTCATTATGGTAAAAGGATTAAGTCAAGCTGTAATACTTGGAGTACCATTTCTAACTTTACTATATCCCTTAACCATAGATGACAAAGGAATCTCTTCAACAATTCAGAATATTCCAATACATTTTAAATTTATACATAAACCAAAATTAAAAGAACTAAATAGGGTCAAAAGTCAATTAAATAATAAAGAAAGATTTTTTTGTACGCTTAAACAAGAAATTAAGTATAAAATTATTGAAGAACAACTGCAAACTTCTTCAATACAACAGAAGATTCAATCATTACAACAACAAATAGAAACTTCAATATGTAGTGAACATCCTAATGCTTTTTGGGACCGAAAAAAAGCATAGTATAAGTTTACCATATGAACAAGGGTTTGATGAAAAACAAATACCTACAAAAGCTAGACCAATACAAATGAATACTATCTTACTAGATATGTGCCGAAAAGAGATAAATGAGCTTCAACAGAAAAAGCTTATAAGACCAAGCTCCTCACCCTGGAGCTGTGCAGCCTTTTATGTTAATAAAAATGCTGAAAAGGAACGAGGAGTTCCTAGACTTGTTATAAACTATAAACCGTTGAATAAAGTTTTAAAATGGATAAGATATCCCATTCCCAATAAAAAAAGATTTATTGGATAGAGTTGCTCAAGCATGTATCTTTTCTAAATTTGATATGAAGTCAGGATACTGGCAAATACAAATCCAAGAACAAGATAAATATAAAACGGCATTCAATGTTCCATTTGGTCAATATGAATGGAATGTTATGCCATTTGGCCTTAAAAATGCTCCATCAGAATTCTAGAAAATAATGAATGATGTTTTTAATGCCTACTATCATTTTATGATTGTTTATATTGATGATGTATTAATATTCTCTGAATCAATAGAACAGCATATTAAGCACATCAATATTTTTATACATGCTATCCGGAATGCTGGATTAGTTCTTTCAGCCAAAAAGATAACTTTATTCAAAACTAATATAAGATTTCTAGGACACATGATCCATCATGGAACCATAATTCCCATAGATAGATCCATACAGTTTGCTGATAAATTCCCTGATCAAATACTTGATAAAAAGGAACTTCAAAGGTACCTAGGCTGTTTAAATTATGTTAGTGATTTCTATCCTAACCTTGCCTTAGATTCTAAACATTTATATGATAGACTCAAAAAAAACCCTCCACCATGGACGGATCTTCATACTCAAGCAGTACAGGTAATCAAAAGCAAGGTAAAGACACTAGAATGTCTCTCACTTCCTCATCCTACTGCTTTCAAAATCATTGAATGTGATGCTTCTGATAAAGGTTTAGGGGGCATTCTCAAACAACAAATTGATTCTAAAGAACAATTAATTCGTTATACTTCAAAAGCTTGGAATAATACTCAACTCAATTATTCCATGATCAAAAAAGAATTATTAGCTATAGTTCATTGTGTGACAAAATTTCAAAGTGATATTTTAAATCAACATTTCCTCATACGAACTGACTGCAAAGCAGCCAAAGATATCTTGCAAAAAGATGTTCAAAATTTAGTTTCTAAACAAATATTTGCTCGATGGCAGGCTATCTTATCCGCCTTTGATTTTTCCATCGAACACCTTCTCGGGTCTTCTAATTCTCTACCTGATTTTTTAACCCGTGAATTTTTGCAGGGGGCAACACTGACACAAACGACGAAGAATCACCCTTATCCCTTGCTCTCCAATTGTTCGCAGAAAATCAGAATAATACTAATATTGTACCTTCACTTTATTATCCAATAGGTTCTCGAGGTACTTCTCGCAGAGATAAACAACCCATGTAAAATATTGTTCCATATGAAGGGAAACCATCGCCTTTGGCAAGACGGTCACCTTCACAGTCACCCATTCACCAAATTACCTATCCAGAAGCACATGCTTCTAATCCGATATGTTCACCAGCTCAATCCAAGACCACCTCCATTCCTAATACATCCAGATCTGCATACATCAAAAGAGCCTATCTTATGGATATCACCATAGATGAACAGCATATTCATACAGATCCCATTAAACTTGCACCCTTATATCTGATAAACCACCTCAACCCTACCAATGGGGTAAAGACCAGAGAATATTACGAAGCCATACTCATGGAAACAAGGTCTATCTCTGTAGTCCATTACTATCAGCAAAATACCAGAATAATTGCCTATTCCAAGGTTCAAATAAAAAAGCTTCTTTCTTATGATGAGTGGGGTTCCAATCCCACACAAGGAAAGAAATTGCACAACCCAGATTTCTCATACAAATTTTATAAATATGCCGAGTATATAGAAGCCTGGCACAAATTCTTTTATTATCAAATTCCGAACAACAAACATAGCTGGTATCTTCAATTCCGGCTACCTATTTTCGAAAGATTCCCCACATGGTTTCAAAATTGGTTTTTAGTGTGGGGTTCAACTTCTTTAATACTACCTCCTGCTTTCAAAAACCTGCAGGACCAATTTGTACAATACAATAATAGTGACAATACAATTGATACTCACCTATACTTCAAGGCCTTATATCAGCTCCCATGGATCATGAAATGGGATTACACCATCTCAGTCAATAATACAAATGATTATACCTATATTCCTCGGTTGGGGAAAACCATCTCTGTAAAATGGTGGGACATTTTCAAAATGGATCTCACAGCTACCACACCAAAAAGAATACCCCCACCAATACCTAAATACCAGCAAAACCCAAATACAACAAACACCTCTTTTGACTTTCCAACCTACCTTCGCAACAAGTTGCAAACCAATCCCAATGCATCCAAAGAAGAATTAGAAAAACAAATGAAGAAAATCTTCGCTGAAGCCGGAAGAAAACCAGTCTCATCCGAAGAAACAGTACAATCCTCCCCACTCCACACCAATAGATACCTCCAATTGAGTGAAGATGATCCAGAAGA